GTCATCTTCCAAGAAGTCCTCTGCAATACCATGAAGAGAGGGGATGATATAGTTTTATGTTACATTTTGAAAAAGCACACATTTTTGTGACAGTATTTTTATGTGCAGAGAATTGTCACAAGATGGCAAAGGACTTCTCGGGGTAATGAGATGGCCTTTTACCTTCATATCCCTCAAGAGGCCACTGCTGTAGCAGTATGCTTCTCAGATCAGAGTACCATCTTGTGAAATGAAACATCGGTCCTGGGGAACCTGAGCTGGTTTGGCTCAGCACAAATTCCTGATACCATGAGGGATAAGCATAGGCTGGGTAAGAGTTTCCCTAAAAAATAAATTTATCAAGTATTTTGTAGCTATGAAACAGAAGCCTCTGATATGTGACTGTTGAAGAACCCAATCTACTAGCCAGAATAACGTACAAAAAAGTGAAACTTGCCAAAATGGGCACATCTTTACCTATGCAGCTGGCTAATTCTAAAAGTGCTAGCTAAAAGTTTCTCATTAAAAAGATTAATTTCCTGATAACGGCATGAAACAAAAATATGGCAATTAAAGAATTAAATATCAGGACAAAACTAATGCAGATTCTATTTAGATGAAACCAGTCTATCAGGCATGAAGTACCAATCCTCCACTTAAAACTGCAGAGGAAATGGAAACATCTGTAGCTGGACATAAGTATGGCATGTAACACCTATAAAAGTGACAACTTGGGTTTCTAGTAAAAGCAATCATCGCCATAGTAATTTTTTCAGACACTAAGATTTCTGTGTTAGTCTGGTTCATTTTGCTGTCACCCAATAGCAAAAGAAGATGTGGGGGAAGGAACAGCTGTTTTTTTTTTTTTTTTTTTTGTTCTCCTCCATTTGAGAAACATTCCCTTTATTCTGCCTATGTAATTGAGTATGTAATCTCTTTTCAGAAACCAGTGTGAGTAACTCTAGATATCAGGGTAGCTATAATATTTTGGTAACTGCAAATAAGAGATGGAAGATGCAGAACTAGAAACTGGAAATAGTTGCAAGACTTAGCTGCATAAAGAGAAAGAACAAAGGCATTGGATTTTTCTTGTAAATGAACTCCAGGCAGTGTTACAATAAAATGAATGTTTGCTATTAGAACAGAATGGCTCCTTTCTTTACTTAGTATTTTCTAGAACAAAAGCACTGTAACTTTCCAAGGCTATAGTGAGTCAGTGCTAGAATTAGAAGTACGATCCTGAAATAACGGTCACCACTAAGCAATGTTTCCTCTCCTTTCTTTTCACCTATTCAAAAAGGCTACCTCTGACAAATCATCTATTAATAGTGAAGAGGGAAGACATATGGAAAACTACAGATTGTCAATAGAATACCTGCTTAATAACAAAAGAATACCTGCTTAATAGCTACTACGGCTATCAAAACTGAAATTCTCAGCTTCAATTGACAAGTTTCTATTATTTAAATTATTAAATTGGATTGAAAAAACACTCAAATTCTGTGCTTAACAAGCATAAGCTTTTTCAAACAAACAGAGGTATTCATACTGCTTTTTTTGAATTTTTATTTTTTTTTAAGTATAGTCAGATTCCTGAAACATGAAACTCAGCAATCCTTATACTTTCTGAAGCTTTTATAACCTCAGATCTGCAAAATTTAGATTTCTAACAATAAGATTTTGGTCCTGGTGCAGGTCAGTCCTGAATGCGAAAAGTAATTCCTGTAATACCAAAATGCAAGGAGTATTAAGAGAAGGGAGGTTTGCAATAATAAGATTAGGGAAAACCTCTATTACAGGCTTTGTATTTCTGGGATATTCTTGAATGGATGTCATCTGCTTGGTGATTGTAAGGAATGCAATCATATTCAGAGTCTATTCGGTTTTGGATAAATCTAGGTTGAGAGAATAGGGGTAGCAGTTACCAAGAAAATCTTTTATTTTATTATAATTCAGTGCATTTGTCCTCAAATACATTAACACATTGTTCATCTCAGCCTGAAATGGTGTGTGTTTACCTAAGGGGCCTATTTACTTCCACTTGTAAAATATATTTACAAATACATTTATTTTTCTCTCTTCTAAATCACTGGAAAGGAAATGACTGACTTCTCATCTAGAAGAATTCAAAGGCACAGATGTTAGACCATAGGGAAAAACCACACAGTAGCATCATGTGTGAAAAGTAAACCTTTAACATAAATGTGCAAGTCTGAAGTAAAAAATCCAGTGAAGCCTTATCCATGAGGGAAATAGAGGCAAAGAACTGAATGCTTACAGAAATTTTTTTTTAAAGTGTAGGTTGTAGTCCAGGGTGTTTGCATGATTTTTATTTTAACGGAAAGAAATAAATGCCCATGAAGACAGAGGTAACACACATAAACAGTGGAATCAGACACAACAGAAATGATTCAGTGACAAAATAGTTTTTACCCTGTAAGTGGAAGGCTGCAGAGAACTTCCTACATGTTTTTGTAACTAGTAAGGGAACATACTGAGTGGGTAATAAACACGGTCATTTACCCCAACAGGCTCCTTTCCCCTTTACACCTTCTGCCTCCAATTCCCACGGTTTCTATTTCCTCAATAGCCTTTCTGCCTCTAATTGTGATTTGCTGTAGAATACTTGAAGATGCTGAATACCTGTATAATTTTTTTCAAAGACTAAAGTCTTTAAAGAATCACGAGACTGGATCATGCACATGAAAATAAGATACTATTACAATATTATCTATAGTCATATAGGTAGACTGTTGCTATAGGAACACATCCAGAATCTGAATGAAAAGGACTCCATCTCAGCAGAGACCAGCCTGCTTGCGACACCTGACTCCAGAGCTACTGCACAGCTCACGTAACTTGTAAATAAGCAGGTGAAGTGTGTATTTCAATGTCACATCTCAAGAGCAGTTGCCCATATATTTCTGTGATTACTTTTTAGATCACTTCCATCACATTCTATTTTTATTGTAACACTGTGGGAAAAAAAAAATAATATCCTGCAAACACTAAAGTAGACTGTGTAATGGTTTTCTGTAATAGGATACAATGCCAACCAAGCACTGGAGTGCCTTATGTGCATGGAATTATGTTTGAGCTTTAATGTTTAAAATAATCAGACTCTATGAGAATAAGCTGGTCTGCATTTTATTTTCTTCAGCTTTCTTTGATGAGGATTAATGAATGAAAGGCCATGAAGTGCTCTAAAATCCTAGGAAAGCACTCTAAGAGCACACACTTACTTAATTATTGTGAGCAAATGATAATGTTTAATGCTTACCTGGATTTTAGCTCTAGCTATAGATGGATGAGTCATTGTCACAGAAAATGTAACAGTTTCAACTAAGAAACAGAAAAACATTAGAGATGTTAAAGTAAATACTTGATGACTGACAAGGAAAAGTGTCTTCATGGTAACGAGCTGAGTAAAACTGTTTGCCCAGACTAATCCTCAGAATTCTTCCGCAAATGTGGTTTATTTTCCACAAGGCTTTACAAAGACAACAACAAAACTCCCACACAACATCAGACAGCCATAAAAATGGCAAATACAAATAATTATATCTACATTACTGAGCTCTGCAACTGTTTACAAATCTGAATCTTCTCGCTTCTTTCACACATAGAAAACATTTCCCAAGCAGGTCGATGTGCTAAACTGGAGTAGCATACATGTTAGTACTACTTCTCTCTGCATTTAAACAAAACCTACTTTTTCTGCACTACAGTTTTCACTGTCTGTACACCTAAACTTGTTCAAAACTTGCTTACCCAATAAACTGATGATTTTCAGAACTGCCTACTGCAAATATGCACACCTATGTATTGAAGTCTTTCTCATTCAAAAAGCTATCAACACAGCCAGGACGTATACAATTTAAGAGATGCAAGCGTATCTATTTTCACACTGTGCTCATTTAGGCAGAACTCAGATGATGTGAACCAAAGTGTCTGGAAAATATTAAGGGCAAAAAAAATTATTCTCTACAAAAAGTTAAGTCTAATAACAAACATATCCCAGTGAATCAGTGCATAATCTTATGACATTTAACTTCATGATCTAGATGTTTCCTCATCTGCCACCATTCAGCTTTTTAAGAGCAAAATTAACTATTAATCTATGAAATTTAGGAATTTGCCATAATTTGTCAAGTGAACAGTTAACATTTTTATTTTATGCCTTTGGTATTCCTTCCACCCTATCTCAGAACATCCTAGAGAGGCAATCCGCACAACAGCTAGACCGAGATGGAAATACACTGCCAGGTGTTAATTAACTGCCCAGGAACAATTAAGAGACGCCAATCATTAGAGAAACCCAACACGACCTACTCAGATGCCCGTGGGGCACGGGCCAATTTCGTGCCAGCTACCCCCAAGAACGCACCCAGCCTGGCCCCGGCCGGCGGGAAGGCGGCAGCAGCCTCGGGGGGGGAGGGGGGGTCGAGACTGCCTTCTCCCTCACGCGTGGCCCGTGGGTGAGCGGTGAGCTCCCCGCGCTGCCTGCGAGGGGAAGTCGGCGCGGGTTCGGCTCCTTCCTCGGAGGCTGAGGGACGCGCGGGGCCCGGCCGCGGGGTCCACCGCGCTGCTGGGCCCGGAGGGCAGGGCTGGGCCCCCGAGGAGGCAAGGGAAGCCTCTCCGCGCCTCCTGCACCCTCTCTCCCTTTGGAGAGGGGAACATGGCGCCCGCAGGCAGGGCCGGGGCGCAGCCAGCCGCTCCGGGTACACGCGTGGCCGTGCTGCGCGTTTCCCTCCGCGCCAGCTGCAGCGGCACGGGAGCGCAAACCCCAGGAACGGCCGCCACACCCCTCCGGGCTCCCGGCACGGCGGGCAGAGCCAGCACCGCCCCGCGGGACGTGAACGTCCCCCGGTAGAAAAAAAAAAAAAACCCAAACAAAAAACAAAACACAAACCAACACCCCACCACACCACGGCCTCGCCCTTTAAGAGAGCCTTCGGCCTGATTGGCCGCGCCAGCTGCCAATCCGGGAGGCTATTGCATCATCCCGGCGGCCGGCGGGGTGGCGATTGGCGAGGGGGCGGGTGCAGCGGGAGGGTGTCGCAATCGCCGCCCGCCCGCCCGCCGCACGTTAAAGAAAGAGGCTCGGGCCGGCCCGGCCCCTCCCGCCGCCGCCACCGTCGCCGCCCGCTCGCTGCCACAGGTAAGCGCGGCCGCGCGGGGGGCGGCGGGCCGGGGGGCCCGCGCTGGGCTGGGCCGGGCCGGGCCTGGCCTCGCCTCTCTCCCGCCGTGTCGCGGCGGGCGCCGCGCATGGGAGCGCATGATGCAATCGGCGGGCGGCCCTGGCTCCCCTCCCCTCTCCTCCCCCGGTGAAGTCACGGCTTGGCAGCGCCGGGCACCCCCGCGCCCCGCACGGGCGGGGGAGGCGGAGCAGCGCGGCCGCGGACGGGCGGCCCCCGCGCCCGGGCCCGCCGGGGAGGGCGGTGGCGTCGCCACCGGAGGCCCACGGGAGGAGGGGGGGGCGGGGCGGGGCAGGCCCGGTCCCCGCGGTGGCTCCGGCCCCGTCGCCGGGGGAGCAGAGCGGGGCCGGGCCGCCCCCAGGTGCTGTTGACAGCGGGGCCGGGCGGCCGTTTCGCCTCGTCCTCCGTTAACGAGCGTGCCTGGGCTGAGGGAAAGGTCTGGAGCGGGGCTTCAACCCCGCCGGTGCCGTCCGGCCCGCTCCCGGGAGCGCGCCAGGCCGCAGGGGTCCCGGGGGCTGCCCCGGACCACGATAAAATGCCGTGCTTTAACAACTGGTATTCTTTTCTAGCTCCTCAAAGGAGTTTTGAGTATCTTTACAAATCTTTATGGGTCCCAACAAATTTTTGTAGCTCCAGATGCAACTTTTAAAGCAGACAGATCGAAGAAAGCTTGACGTTGGTTTTAGCTCTGACATCTGGTGGGAAATAGAAGTCATTAAGACAACTCAATACTCCTCTCAGTATTAGTGCTGTGCTGGTTATAATGCCTCTTCAGAATGTATAAAAATTTTCGGATTTAAGGAATTAGTTCATCTTTAGAAATCGCTACCTTCATTATAATTCAAAAGACAGAGTCAAATCGATACCTCCTTCCCTCCTGGCATATGGGATTGTTTGAGATTCTGTCATCAACGCTGCTAGTGCACAATTAAAATACATATTTTACATATTATGAGAACATTTTTCTTAAGGATGTTGGAGTGCATTTTTCTTGTAAGGTGACAGGAAGAATAGATTCTGAGAAAAATAAGACAAAGTGATGTATTCAGCTATAGCAACAGATGATAGGTTTGAGCTACCTAGTCCCCAAAAAGTTGTTGCCTAGCCCTCCGTACGTGAGAGTTACCATCAGCTCTTACTAACTTGCCTGTGAGAGTGTGCAGAAATCCACGCAGGAGTGGGCTCTCCCTTCGCACTGTTCAGCAAACATATGCCTGGAGTTTTAATCTGTCATCATTTGTACGGGGTCATCTGCATTTAGTCAGATATTACCGAGGTATTCCTACTGAAATCAAAGAGAAGGCAGGCCACCTATTGCTGTTCAGACTGGGACTGCTTTTGCATTAGACAAGACAGCTGGGTGAATTTGTGCATCCCGACTACCGATCAGAATCAACACAGTCACATCTCAGAAAAGGAGCAGAGAGAAGCGCTTTGTATTTTTTGCTGCTAAGTAAAGAAAATACTGATTTAATTAACAAAAGACATATTTTTTTTTTTTTGACAAAACAAACATTTAGAAATTTAAGTTTTTGATTTTTTTTTTTTTTTTGTGAAAGCAAAGATAATAAAGGCCTTGATTTGCTTGGTTGGGAGTCTCTGTGGTCCCCGAGGAGTGCTGTCAGTCAGTAAGAAACATCTCTCTGCTTGAGAAGACACCTCTGTGTTAGCAGCTGTTATGCTGTAGTGGGTGGTCAGTTGGTGTCCTGGGTGGCCAGTTGGTGGCCCATGGAGGAAACAAGGCAGTTCTAACTGGCCACTAGAAACACTACCATGTGCTGGGTGGAACCAGCCTAGGGCTGTCACTGAGCTCAAGCTAATGAGCAGCTTTATGGGAACAAGATGCTCGGAAACTCAGCTGGCTCTCCGAGGAGCTGGCTCTTGCTGGGCCGGGGCTATCGCCCATTCACAGGAAACCAACCTGTTTGCGGAGAGGAGCAGAGCTGCTGCGTTTGTGTGGCATGGTGTCTGAGAAACAAACTCTGAGACTCATCTGCCTCCCCACCCTCATGGCCTCATCCAATTACTGTGTCCTTTACCTCACCCTTCTTGAGAGCCCTTTCCATATGTCTCATACATGTTGCCTTTAAATCTCCTTGCAGTATTCCCTGAAGGATGCCCCATAGCACCTGTCACTATCCAGGATATCCTTCCTTCTCATCATTCTGTTGAAAAACTGACAATTGGTAATAGGGATCCAGCCTCCAAATAACCGGGGGGAAAAGTTAGTTTCAGGCCTCAACTGTTACCACTCCAGGGTTATCCGTGATGTAGTACGGTTAGTACTACTTGCTTTGCATAAATATTAGTTGGAACAGGACAAGAATCCAGGTATCATCTCTCTCAGATAAGGCTTCTGATCATCAGGCCAGATAAGAGCATATCTCACTCAAGAAACAGTTATTTCATACAAAATGGGTCAGTCCCAGTGGGAAGGAATTGAGGGAGATCTGTTCTAGCAGGGCTAGAACGCTTGCTTGAGGTGTGACACTAGTTCCTCTGCTCTGCTCATATCTCTGTACTGTCCAACTAAAATCCATTAAAATTCTGTTTAATGGAACAAATAATTTTTCCTGTGAATTACAGGGGAATTTGATAGAGATCTGAAGGGAATGTTAAATATGAAAATAGTTTCGATAGCATAGAGAGAAATAGCACATGGAAGCTGGTGATGTGAAGAAACTTGTTATATGTCGGGTGGGGTGCCTTCAGGGGCAGGAGCCACCCCTTCCTCTGTAGTATCTCATGAAGCACAAAAGGCAGATGGTAAAAATGGTATGGGTTATTTAACTAGGCTGTCCAGGTGAAGTTAGCAAGAACTGTAATGTGTTGAAATAGAGGGGACAGGAAAGCATTCTGTCTAACTTTGAAAAAATGCCAAAAATTCAGTTGTCAGAGGCAATCTAACAGAGCTGTGTAGTCTTTAAGGGCTACAGAAATCCTGTATTTGAACATAAAGCTGAAGACAAAGCCAGTATATGTTCCAAGAGGAGCATATACTTGCATCTTGACTAAAAATGTCTGTGCAGTCACACATGCACAGCTACAACTGGTCCTGCCTGTTTGGTATTTGTGCACAGGGACATCTTGTTAGCTGTATAATCATTTTAACTGCTAAACCAAATTGCTAATTCACTCAGTATCTTAAGATTTAATGTGATTTTCAAAAATCGCTTTAAGAGTTGAAATCGGGAGAATACTAGATACACAGGTTAGGCATGTAAGTATATAGATTCAGCTATATAGATGTCAAAAAGAGTTGATGGTCTCCTTCTGCCTTGAAATACGAAAATGAAAATATTCGTTGATAGGAGGAATGTGGGTGTACTCACACATCTTCACTTATTTTAAGTGAGAAGACTTGGTGACAGAGAATGTTAATTTTGAATAACATTCAAGCTAAACTTACTAGGCTTTTCGGTGAATTTTACTGAACCACACTCTGCAGCTGGATCTTGTTTTGGCTCCCTCATTATGGAAGATTTGCAATTGATTTAGACAGTAGAATTTTAACTTTCTAAATGATGCCCTAGAAGAAGGTAAACCAGCAACTTGGACTTCTGAGAAAAACAAACAAGAACAGTAAACGTCTGATGAACCTGTGAGTTTGGAATGACCGGTGACACAGAGCAGTTCATTTACAAACATCTCACCACATCCATTCATCAGCTAGACAGATGTACTCACCCACCTCTTGTGCTGTCACTGATGCAAGCCATAATCCCTGCCTTGGACACTGCTGGTACGGGGTGGTTAGCACTGCCCACTGCTACCTTCAACAGCGTGCTTCAACAGCAGGTCCTCCTGAGGACGGGCGAGGAGGAAGTTGAACACTAGTGGTGTGATACTGCATGGGTGCGTGTGGCAGAGCATAGGGCTGCACCACTGCACTGCAGTCTGTCTTGGATTAGGATTGTTTTATGCCAGTTAGATAGTTTAACACAAGAAGAAATCAACACTTGTTTCACTGATCTCTGGGCACTTCTGGAGCCTTAGGTAGGTGTTTTAGAACAACCCTGTTGCCCTTCCCCTCTCCCCTCCCAAACTTCCCTCCCAGATATTTAGGAAGTCATCCTGTGAGATGGGAAGAGAAGTGGAGCAGCTGCTAGCCTTGCCAGGGCCATGTCGGCGCAGCAGCTGTGGTGGAGTCCTCCTTGCACCACCAGTAGGGTCAGGAGCAGGCTGACCCCAGCAGCAGGAGAACGTGAGTCAGGTGTGAGGGTGTCCTGCTTGTCAGGCCTGTTTGTCTGCTGGAGAGTGGACAGTGACCAGTGCAGGACCTACAGCAGGGCAACATATCTTGTGGATGAGTCAGCTGTGGCTGCTGTCTTCCTATGGGTGGCAACAGTCCCCTGTCTTTGCCATGTAGTGCTTCACCCCACGTTCCTGTCCCACCTGCTCGTTACAGTACTGTTACAGGCTTAGCCTGTCTTACCTTGCTTGTGGTTGAAGAGGTTCCTTTGATGACGCTCAGTCACAGCCTTCTCAGCACATGACCTTTTCCCACTCAGTACTAGTGAGACCTTAAAACAGTCAACAGTTGTGACATCAAAAGCAAGTACTGTAAGATGATCAAGGAAAGGTGGACAGTCTGAGCACCCTCACTCCAGAGAAAAGAAACTAGGGAGGAATTTCTCTGTGCCTACACCCAGAGGGATGGTCTGAAGAGGACAAGGATCAACTATTCCTGTTGGTCAAGAGTCAGGCTGTTAATAGGTTTAAGCTGCAGAAGGAAAACTCCGGTCTGAAAATTAAGAAAATTATATAACTGGAGGAAAAGTTAGACAGTGGAACCTGTTGCCAAGACAGAGGTTGTGAAACTGGAGATATTCGAGGCTAGGCTAGACATCCATCCATCAGGGATGGCTATGGAATAACTGAATAAAGCCAGTGAACAATGCAAACAGCTTGACTAGATGACCCAGTAACAGTCCTTTCCAATCCAAATACGTTTGAGAGGCTTCTGAAATGTAGTTGGCAGCTTGTCCACTTCCAGTACAGTTGTGATGTGTTCTTGCCAGATGTACCATCAGTACCTTATGCTAAAGCCAGTGATGTATAAGACAGTAGATGAAGTTGGTGCCTTTAATAACATTTTTTTTTCTTACTAGGTTCACCTTGCCCTTAATTCATGTGAAGACCTGTTGGAAACACCTTCTAGAAACGTTAACAGTTTTCAGTCTCCTAATAAATTCTCTTGTGTCCAAGAAGAGCCTGTCCAAATGAGCAAGACATCCCAACAGAACACCGCTACAGATGCGAATGGAGTAAGCGTGATTCACACCCAAGCACACACCAGTGGTTTGCAGCAGGTTCCCCAGCTGGTGCCCGTTAGTCCTGGTGGTGGAGGCAAAGCTGTGCCTCCGAGCAAACAGGGAAAGAAAAATTCCTTTGTGGATAGAAACAGTGATGAGTATCGTCAGCGCAGAGAACGAAACAACATGGCAGTGAAAAAGAGCCGGTTAAAAAGTAAGCAGAAAGCCCAAGACACGCTGCAAAGGGTGAACCAGCTCAAAGAAGAAAATGAACGTTTAGAGGCAAAAATTAAGCTCCTGACCAAGGAACTGAGTGTACTGAAAGACTTGTTCCTCGAGCACGCGCACAATCTTGCAGACAATGTGCAACCTGTTGGCACTGAAACCACCACAACAAATCCAGAAAACAGTGGACAGTAGACACTGCTGCAGCCTTACGAAATGAACTCTCGAGGTGCAGCTTGTCTGCAATGCCCATGCAGTAACCAAGCAAAAAACTGTTCTTCTAACCATCATTTTGTGGAGATTTTCTTCTTTTTAGGTTTAACACTGAGATTTGATACAATTAAACCAGAAACTGCTTAGGGTATTTGTTTTAAATATTTTTCTCCTCTAAAAGATTTACCGAATAAATGCAGATCTAAATTCATAGTTAACAAGGAGCTTAGTATTGAGGAAATAGCATTTTCACAGAAATGTTCAGTTTGCATACTGGGAGGAATCCAACAGGATGGTTCACTGTAGTGTCAGAAATTTGTAATGGGATAAAGTGTCTTTTAAAATAAGACCTTTTAGTATATTTAAGCCCTATGTTTTCTCCATTACATATTACAAAACTGTAAAGGCTCTGTAGGGTGTTGGCTTTCCTGTTTGGTGGACTACTTTAAATCCGTAGAGCAAGTCCTATAAAGCACCATTTAAGTCTTTCCTGTCCAGTTATAGTTAATGGGGAGGGTGTAGTAATAGTGAGCTGGGATACTTACTGATGTTTTCTAGAAAAATAGCAATACACTATGATGCTATATACAGGCAGTTGCCTTGCAAACAGTAAGTCTGAAGCATCATGTACAAGAGGTAAAGCGGCACATTGACAAAGCCTTTTAAGCCTGTGTTCACATTGCTCACATAGTGACAGGGCCTTACAAGAAGAAGATTTTGGTTTTCAGAAAATGTCAAAATACTACAAAAAATCTGTGCTCTGCAAAATTGCATTCTTGCTGGGGTGCAGGTATCAAGGAGAACAAAATGTGCAGCTCGGCTAAGCAACAAAAGGGGTGTTCAGCCAGAATGTATGACTCACTGCTTGTTGACATTCATTTTCATGGCTGTTCAGATTTGCAACCAAGATCTTACAGAAATTCAGTGATTTTAAAAACTAATGGCCCTCATTTAAATAACTGATTCAGTGGAATTTCTATAGCCATCATACAGTTGTGTGAAGGAGTATCTTTAGCCTTGTTTTCTTTTCAGAAAAGTTTTTCTATAGCAACTTTTTAAATGCTAGTGCTAAGTCTTTGCAATGATCCATAATGCAGTTGTATGTACTATATTGAGGATTTAAACAATAAAAGTAAAGCAGGAACTTTGATGTAACCTTAATTTATTTTCATTTTAAAATATTTCATTGACAGTATGGTTGTGTTACATTTAACCTGTGTGTCTGGCTAGTGGATTATTACACTGTCTTAATTTCCCTCCCACACTACTTTTTTCCGTAGATTATTTTGTAGGAAGCTTGTTTGCCTTGTATCTGTACCTAGGAAGAGAACTTGGATATTATCTCTATGAAGATGCTGTTAGAAAATGAAATCTTGAAAAGTTCTTTTTGAATTTAAAACTTTTAATACATGTGGAAAACTTTTATGGATTCTTTTGGATTATGGTAGTCTTTTTACAAAGATATGTTTTTTGGTTCTAGCTGCAGCTTAAGTAGGTAGGGTTGAAATACCAGAAGCTAATAAAAACCTTTTGCTTCTAGTGCTGGCGTCATTCTTCCTCTCCCTTTTCTATTTTCCCTCAAATGCAGAGGTGCCCACCTCAAGCTGTTATCTTTGAGAAATCAGTGCAACAGTCTCCATTCCTGTCTTCCACTCAGGTTTTTACTCATTGGAAAGAATCAGAAACTCATTACAGTTTTGCCTGAAATCCTAATGTAACAACAACAACAACAAAAAGACTGAAAAGGTATTGCAATTGGAGGAGGGGAGGGGCAAGGAGGAGGAACAGAACACCAAAAACAACAAGGAAAAAGATGACCTGAAAGCATCTCATTTGTTACCTGTGCACCTACTCTGGTGCAAAAGGCAGGAACTAGTCTCCTTCCTGGTTGTCTGCTCTGTGAACTGGGACTGTATGGCCCTGTTGTCCTGCAGCTGGTTTGATAGGTTGATGCGGTGTCCTTCCCTCATAACCAGAACAGGGGGCTCCAAATCTATGGTATTTGTTTCTGGTTTTGGTGAATGTGTCTTCTTAAATCTCTTTGAGTGGGAATAATACCCTTTCTGATGCCCTGGAGGGTGACTTCTCCACCTGTTACTCCTGACAGCTGATTCCACTTCTTGTTTAAAACAAAATCATTGAGTTATGAAAAGTGATTTGTTTGCACGGTGAAATTTCTGGCTTAGCAGTCTCTGCACTTGCTTTCTTTGCCTAGGGAAGCACGTAGACTGTGTGCAGCACATCACTTTAATATGTGAAGCCATGGACCCAAGATTGTAACAAATTATTATTTTAAATCTACCCTCAGTGAGAATTTAGTTCCAAGAAAGGCATTAGTCTATCATTCTAAGCCCCCTCCTGCCAAAATAGCTGTTTTTAACCCAGGAGGAGCAAAGGCAGGGTGAGGCTTTCCCTTTCTGCCCCAGGGTGGAACAGCCCCTGGTGTGTGACAACAAAATGTCTCAATCTTACCCTCCACTGCAAGGCACAGGAGCACACCTAGGTGACTTGGACGATTCTCCTTCCTAAAGAAAGGCTGGAATAAATATGCACCTATACAAGAAAATTTCAGCATAGGCCTATAAAAGTAAAGGTTTTATTTTTGACACATTTTTCTTAACAATTATAGTCTGTGACAGAATACCGTGCCTGTCACTAGGAGAAGGAGCATTACAGCACTATACATTTCAGCAGGAAACCTTATGCCCATGTTCTCACTGTAGCACTAAGAGAACAGCTCTACTCTAGCCTCCACGAGCACCAGGAGGCTCTACCGCTCTAACTATACCCTGTAGCTGCAGCAGCGTAATTGGCGTGGCAGATAAATCCAGAGTGCATCCAATCCCAGGGAGCTGAAGCAATTTCAATTATATCAGTTCAGAAGTGCTTGGACCCTCCTGAGCACACAAGCTTGCTCAACATAACACTGTTTTTCTGTTATTTTGGTGCCACTCTATTCGAGTCTGTCTGCACCAAGGGGAAAAGGCATTTGGGAAAACATGATAGCTAACATTCTAAAATACCTTAACGCAGTCAAAAATAAAGTTTGCTGTAACCTGTGTTTTACCCCCATTAATACATTTAAAGTGTATTAAATAACATTTTGCCTTTTTTTTAAAGGCTTACTTCCCTACCCCCTCTGCTAATTTAGAGAAAAAGTTCTAATTCACTTTTTGCCTAAGTGGAAAAAAATTATTATAATTACAGAACAGACTTCTGGAAGGAAGGATGAAATTTATATTCACCAAGTTCATGGGCCTGATTACGAAGGAAAATAGGAGATGGTGCACCATCCCAGACCGAAATGCATCCATGTCTCAGGCAAGCAAAACAACAGAAGCTGGTTACGTGAGCAAGCACTTTCCCCGGAGAACTCTCGGTAGGGTTCGTTTGCTGGTACGTGTCGAAGCAGAACCAGTTCTGCCTCCTGCAGCACGCCAGATTGCTCGACCTGTTCTGCAGCAGCAGAGCCTGGTATTTGCCAAGATTATTCATAGGCAGGGAAAGGCCTATTAACTAGATTGGGGTTACAGCTTAGTTGAAACAATTCCAAAACTCTCTTTTTTTTTGAAAATCTGTGAAGTGTTACTTTAAAATAGTAACTGCTACTGAACCCAAGCAACAGCAGGTTTCAGAGTGCCCAAAGCAGTGAGCGATCCCATGGGTGTGTTCAGAGCATGCCACAGGAAAGCACTTGGACGTGGAAGGAACAAGACTGAGGCCACAAGCACTGTCATGCACTGAAAAAACCTCCCGAGTTTTAGGGGTAGATGAGTCTGGAGCAGTGCCAGCTTAGTTTCTGTGTTCACATATCTGCAGAGCCTCCAAAGCAAAGCCTGATGTCCTCTGCACAAGTACTACATTTCAGAGGTACAAGCCTTTTCACCACAGAAGGGAGCATTAGCACAGTCGCGCATACAAGCTGCTGATCTCACACCCTCCCCTCCTCACCCCTTTGCAGTCGAGACCTCCTGCCCTAGCCTCTTACAAACCAGTGCTGAGCAACCTTTAAAAAACATGTAAATAGGCTCATTTGTTAATAAAGTGACATTAAACATAAGGAGTGAAGTCCCCTGGATTATTTCACAATGTGTTTCTTTAGTCTCCAAGATGAAGTTTCCTATTTAGCAATGGGTCACCAAGCTGTTATGAATAAAGAGCAGGTTCTCGTCACCCAGATCAATCCAATTAGCCAAAAGAGCTCTCTGTAGAGCAACACATTTGACCACTTTTAAGGAAATTATCTCAGACCTAAATCCAGTCCCAGGTTGGGGGCACAAAGACAGCAACACAGTGGGTTTTGTCACCACCCCAGCCCCTGTTGTGTTGCATGCCCCATCTAAGACAGGCGCTTGCAGGCACTGAGAAGCTCACAGTTGGTCCCATTGCCTGCATGCCAGCTCCAGGATGTGAGCAACAGAACCGAGGTGATGAGATGATCAGGTCAGCCAATCCCTTCACAGTGGGAAAATCCTCATCTGGCAAGCAGTAAGACCCAGAAAGGCCCTGACATCTGCTGTGACTTCAGTTCCCCCTGACATGGCAGAGGGATGTTCTGAAGTGGCTTTGCAGTCACACTGTGCAATGGAGCCTGAAGACCAAACAAGAGTTTTGATGTGTTCATAAAGTGAGCAAGGTTATTTTTATGTAGTTACAGTAACTGGTGCTACTTTATGATGCAAGAAACGTATTTATTCTCCTGCAGGCTGATGAACACCTACAGTAAAGAAAGGCTTCTCTGGGTAATTTAAATCCTGCATGAATGGAAAATTATTTTATGATTATTATTAATATGTTTGTGGTGTATCCATATATAAAATTTACACTATGTCGCTCTGAACTGGCTAACACCGGACAGTTAAAAATAACTCTCATTCTGCATAGCATATGCTGCTGAATGACCCTGAGCCCTGCAGCAAAGATACTCCCTTCTTGCAATTTTTAAGAGTCGTGAATACCATAGCAATCTGTGTTTTTAAGGAACAAATAGATGGACAAATCTAATAAGCATCACAGGCTGTGTGTGAAGGATCAGTACACCCACTACCCAGAGCAGAAAAATCTGGCTAATGAAGGGTCAAAGTTTCCAGAGCACAAATTGGTAGAAAGGTCAGATAAAGAAGCAGGAATGGGAGCAAAAGAGCATAATGATCACGAAGTTGTGAGCATAAATGATGCCAAGGATTAATTTTAATAAAAATTTGATTCTGCTTACTCCATTGACACTGAAATAAGATCTGTAAGAAAAATGTAAGTGTAATTATGTCCACTGAGAACAGCTGATTTTTCATGTTTTTTGCAGTACTTGCGATGTTTAAAAAAAGTCTTGTATTGTTACAGTTGCGAACAGTATTCCGATAATCCATTTGGTTATTTTAAAGAGTCCCAATCATCAAAATTCATATTTAATTGCAAGATAGTCTGATCTGATATGTGACAGAAGTATAAGCCCCGCTGATAATGCAGCAGGGTTATTCAGGTTTACATTACTTGGTAACGTAAACTGCTGACTGCAAGCAGCAGCATTTGTGTTACCTGGACATCAAGTGCTGAAGCCTTCTACCTTAATTTTTAATGAATTAATCATTCCAGCTAATAGCCTGCCTGCTTCTCTTGCTATTAAGAATTGGATGCACTTTATTTTATATGCTGCAGCATTAAATCAGAACGATGACTGATTAGTGTGAGACAGTAAGTATCATCCTGAAGTTTACTGCTTTTGGCTGGAGAGGCAGTCAAATGACTTGGCACTGCTTTGGCCTTCTGCCATGAAAGCCTCTATTTCTTCAACAGTACGTGGGACACACGTTAGCAGCTCCATTCCACTGGCTGTCACTGCAATGTCGTCCTCGATCCGGACCTGTTACAGAGAACACGTGGTTACCGAGGTATTGCAGCTGGGGAGGAGAAGCACATTGGGCAGCGACAGCACAAAGCGCGTTTCAGTCTGGTCCTGATGCAACACCAGGCAGGGCAACATACTGGAAGCACCCAAATCGCCCAGCACCGCGGTGCTGAGCTCTGTAGGGCCCAATCCCCCTTGGGCCACCCGGCCCCTGCCAGCCTCCTGGGACCACGCGAGCCCCGTGGTGCCCCCTGGCAGAGCAGCCCCGCGGGAGGTGGTGGCTCTGCTGGTGACTCGGGTGCTGCCTCTGCTGCACCGGGTACAGCAGGGACAGGCTGAGCGAGATGCTGCATCAGTGAGCTCATGCTGCGTAATTACACGGGGCCAAAAAATGTCAAGCCCCTGTCATCACGAGCAGCAAAAGGAACATTCTCCCCTGAATTTGCCTCCAGCCTTGCTAGCACATGGCTTGCTAGGGACAGGTTCAACAGCAGTGCCTCCTGACGCCCAAAATGCTTGTTCTCGAAGTGGTCCTGCTGCTGAGCTGCAGTTAGCTGCTCTTTGCACTTAAATATCACATTCTCTTTTCTCTAAACTCAATACGTTTTCAAAAGGAGGAACTGCAACATGAAATAGCTTGTATAGCTGATATTCAAAACATTGAATTTTGAGCTGATGGAGAAAGTCCTAAGCA